AAGTCAAACTCTCACTCTTTGCAGATGATATGATAGTTTATGTGGAAAACCCAAAAGACTCCACTCCAAAACTGCTAGAACGCACACAGGAATTCAGTAAACTGTTGGAATATAAAACCAATGCACAGCAATCAGTTGCATTTCCATACACCAACTGCAAGATAAAGAAGAAAGAGAAATTAAGGAGTTGATCCATTTACAATTGCACCCAAAACCATAAGATACCTAGGAATAAACCTAACGAAAGAGGCAAAGAATCTGTACTCAGGAAGCTATAAAGTACTCATGAAAGAAATTGAGAAAGACACAAAGAAATGGAAAAACATTCCATGCTTATGGATTAGAAGAAAAAATAATGTGAAAATGTCTATGCTACCTAAAGCAATCTACACATTTAATGCAATCCCTATCAAAATCCCATCAAATTTTTTCAAGGAAATGGAACAAATAATCCTAAAATTTATATGGAACCAGAAAAGACCCCCCAATAGCCAGAGGAATCTCCAAAAACAAAACCAAAGTCAGTGGCCTCACAATTCCAGACTTCAAGCTCTATTCCAAAGCTGTAAATGTGAAGACAGTATTGTAGTGGCACAAAAACAGACATATAGATTAATGGAACAAAGAGAGAGCCCAGAAACTCTATGGTCAACTAATGTTCAGCAAAGCAGGAAAGAATGCCCAATGGAAAAAAGACAGTCTCTTCAACAAATGGTGTTGGCAAAATTGGACAGCCACATGCAGAAGAATGAAACTGGACCATTTCCTTACACCACACACAAAAATACACTCAAAATGATGAAAAACATCAAGGTGAGACAGGAATCCATCCAAATCCTTGAGGACAACACAGGAAGCAACCTCTTCAACCTCAGCCACAGCAACTTCTTCCTAGGAACATCACCAAAGGCAAGGGAAGCAAGGGCAAAAATGAACTACTGTGACTTCATCAAGATCAAAAGCTTTTGCACAGCAAAGGAAACATGCAGCAAAACCAAAAGACAACTGACAGAATGGGAGAAGATATTTTCAAATGACATATCAGATAAAAGTCTAGTATCCAAAATCTATAAAGAACTTATCAAACTCAACCCCCAAAGAACAAATAATCCAATCAAGAAATGAGCAGAAGACATGAACAGTTCTGTAAAGAAGACATCCAGATGGCCAACAGACACATGAAAAAGTACTAAACATCACATGGGATCATGGAAATACAAATCAAAACCACAGTGAGATACCTCCTCATACCAGCCAGAATGGCTAAAATCAACAAGTCAGGAAACGACAGATGTTGGCGAGGATGTATGCAAGGTGGTGAAGCCACTCTGGGCGACAGTATAGAAGTTCCTCAAAAAGTTGAAAGTAGAGCTACTCTACGACCCAACAATTGCACTACTGGGTATTTACCCTAACGATATAAATGTAGGGATCTGAAGGGGCACGTGCACCCAAATGTTTATAGCAGCAATGTGCACAATAGCCAAACTATGGGAAAACCTAGATGTCCATGAACAGATGAATGGATAAAGTGAGATATAGATAGATAGATAGATAGATAGATAGATAGATAGATATAGTGGAATACTATGCAGCCATCAGAAAACCTGAAATCTTGTCATTTGCAAGGACATGGATAGAACTAGAGGGTATTATACTAAGCGATATAAGTCAATCAGAGAAAGACAATTATCATATGATCTCTCTTATATGCGGAGTTTGAGAGGCAAGGCAGGAGGTCGTTGGAGAAAGGGAGGGGAAAAAATGAAACAAGATGGTACTGGGGAGGGAGACAAACCGTAGGAGATTCTTAATCTCAGGAAGCAAACTGAGGGTTGGTGTGGGGCAGGGGAGGGATAGGGTGGCTGGTTTATGGACATTGGGGAGGGAATATATTATGGTGAGTGTAAGACTGATGATTCACAGACCTGTACCCCTGAAACAAATAATATGTTATATGTTAACAAAAAAACACTAATTATGTTGTATGTTGGCTAACTGAACATAAAATTAAAAAGGTGGTGTTTGCCGAATGCATAGCACATGTTAACTAAATTTTACTTTCTAGCTGAACTAGATGCCCCAGTGATGTCCAATATCACCCAGCCTCTCCCCAAACCTACCTCCACATTTTCAGCCTGGACTAACCTCTCCCACCTTCCCATTTCTGTCCACCATACTTATATGCTTCCTTATCAGACCATCTTTGTACCTTTGACCTCCAGGTGTGACACCTACTCCCTCTGAACCATAAATGATTCTTGGGCTTTATTTCTACAACTCATGAGACACTTGACACCACAATTGTGTGCTGTACTTTGGCACATGTCATCTCTTCTCATAAGGGTTCATGTGTATTTTCTCTGCACATGCCATTTACTTAACAAAATCACTTCTAAGTCACTGAAAGGAAGGATCAATCAATTAATTGATGATGATGTTTGCATCTGGCATAAGCAAATGGAAAGCCATTTGGAAGTGATGGTTGATTTAAGCAAAAAATAAGACACCAAAGACACTTCACATTTTCTGTGCTGATTTTTTAATGAACATCTTATAATCTTACAAAATAACTGGCTATAGCTGTTTTACATTACAATACAGTAGATCAGCTCCTTTCACTGTGTTCCCAATCCAGCCATCCTTTTGGGGTGCTAACTGATGCACTGAATAGCTATCTCACAGAGGAGAGGAAGTGCCAAGTCCAATGCCTTGTAATGGAGGGAAGGAAAGGAGAGAATCAAGAATAACTCTTCACTTTCATGTACAGGTTTGCCAGCTGCCCATTCTCCTTATTCTGTCCTCTCATCTCTCTGGTTGCAGACTGTCACACTAACCATTAGAGTCAGCTAGTCCTGGGTCACCTAGACAACCAGAGCCCCTAGTTAGTAGGAAAAAAAAAAAAAAGGCAGAGAAGTGACTTTCAGGACAAAGAAGGGCCTGTGGGAGAGGTCCTCCATGACCCCATGGATGGGTAAGAGCAGCCAAACGCAGACCATCACATGGAGTGAGTGGGAGTTGATATCGCCTGGGAATAAAGTCCTTCCACTTTATTAAGGACATGAGAGTTAAAACACACCAGGCCCCAAAGAAAATGGCCTGAAGAGCCTGCCACCTATGAATGGCCTGAGCTGACATGGGCTGGGCAACCTTCAGCCAGAAGTGCTTTCCACGCACTACAGAAACTGCCCTCTTGCCTTCTCAGGGCAGTCGTGGATTGTAGATGTTGCCAATGGAGAATAAAATATTTGTAAATGAAGTATGACAGAGAAATGTTCTCACTGTTCCTTCCGTGAAGAGACTGAGCACAGACCCACACTGCTGCGAACCACAAGCTTGCAACCTTGTGGGGGAGCTGAAGCCTTCCTGAGCTAGGCAAGGCCCAAGATACCTATTCTGCGGCCTTAGTCTCAGACAAGGCAGGATTCCCTGATGCAGAGCTTGATGCACTTCCAAGAATCTGGATACTCTCCCCAAGAAAACAATTTTACAACTCCATTAAAAAAAAAATCGGCAATATAAAATAAACTTTTTCCACTGTCCTTTCCATATTGAAGCCTACTACAATCCTAGGAAGATTTATTCTCTTTCTGGGGTACTAAATGTGAACCCAGACAACAAACAGTAGGTATCCAGATTTCCCTTATGGCTAGAAACATAAGAGAACAAGGGCTTTTTGGATGGCAACCTCTGCTCCTTTCTTTCCTCAGTGATGGTGTCACCCCCATTTTATATCCCTAAAGATAAATATATGTATACCCCCTTCTTTTTTTCCCCATTCCAGGATATTTTTCTTTCCTCAAGATAGTGGTGGGGAATATTTCCTCTTCCAGTTTGCAAAGCCATTGCCTCAGTGTTGGTGGGAAGAGTAGAAAACTTGTGGTCAGAGCCAAAGAGCAGATGATTCAGAGAGACCAAGGTTGCACTCTCATTTTGGCCCGTTCTTCGCTTCCATTGGAGAGGAGGCTCTGAGGGAGAAGCAAGCCTCCCAGCCCTTCTTGAGATAACAAACTGAAGTGTTGAGCAAGAAGTTAACTCTCTTTCCCCAAGGCTTTCCCCAGAAGTTGTTACCAAAAACAACTGCAACAGACCGTGCGCAAAAAGAGGAAGCCTGGGTGGTAAACAGAGGCCGGTTAAAGTGGTCATTTTACCCACAGTCCGTCTATTGAACAAGAAAGGATAATGACAACATAACGGACCCTAAATAGTTGAAATTCTTCTCTCTTCCCACAGAGTGTCACCCTTGCTCCACGTGTTTCCATAGCTTTCTCAAATCAAAAACTCTAGGTCAGGGATATGATATCTTGTACTCGAACAGAATTTACCTCAGATCCCGCGTTGCTTCAAGGATTCCCCTCCTCTCTGTTCTGGAGATTTGGAACAAGGCCAAGTCTCTTTGCCTCATGTCATCCTCCTATCTGGGGCTCTGATTTACTACTGGCCTCTCCCATTTCCATGGCTTTGCTTGGCTTCTCCATCTCTGACTGTTCTTCCATCTCCTCCCATTCTCCCCCTATGTCATGTCCATAACATTTTTCCCTCCAAAAAATCAGCAATTGGTCCTGTGTCTGTGAGTGACAGCTAGGTCTGGGGACTTAGAAGGAGAGAGGGTACAGGCCAGCCAGCCATGAGGAATGTGTGAGTTCCTGTAATCCTGTCATTCAGAGAACAAGCCCCAGTACTAACTTGCTCACTGACTGGCAGGCGAGAGCCACCCTTGAGATAGGCAGGTGTGGGAGTGTAGAGGATCCTGGGGCTCAATAACTCCAACTAAGAGTTCTGAGAAGTGAAAAGTAGTGAATACGTTCCTTCTGGATAGATACACAAGAACCACGGTCTGGTTCTTCTGGCCCCAGCACCAATGGGTACTCCCACCCAACTTGCCACGCCTCTTACTGTTATCATCCCAACCCTTCATCGCCTTAAACTGGGCCCAGCTTCCTGCTCATGAAAAGATGATTAGCTGACATGTTAGTTTCAAAAAGTTCATCTAATTTCTCTCTCTTTCTCCATCGCCACTTCCTTTTCCACCTGCCAACCCCCATCAATAGAAAAATGGCAGAATGACTTGTCTTGCTGTACTCAAACCCTCAGGATTCATTTGGGATGTGAACTTCACAGCAGCATGTGTGGAACAATGTATAATTTTTAGCTTAGTAGACAGCAAAAAATATAATATATATAATATATTTATATAATTATGTTTAAATACTTATAAGGAATTAATAACTAACCTCATTATGACTAAAGGAGACTACACAAAAGAAAGGGAGCCAGTTTAGAGTAGATGAGCCCCGAAAGATGGCAATCCATTCAAAACGGGTGTTAACAGAGCATCCCTGGTGACTTCTCTTCTAGTATTTTGGTATTGGTTTACAAGTTGGGTGGGGCTGAATAGTTGGCAGGGTGCAGAGTGGGGAATAGGACAAGAGTTGAGGATGGGGGTGAATAGAATATAAGTGGGGGAGGAGGGTCCTTGTATAGCTATCATATCTCTCCTTCCACTTTTAATCAACTGCCTCTTTGAAGAAACTTTTTGCCTGTGACTCTTCCCTACTTGGGGTACTTGGTGGAACAGTTGGCACCTATAAACGTTCCCTTGCATGTCTATAAGAACCTCAAGCTCTTCCTCCATCCTTCAGTTCATACCCTTTCTTCTTTGTTCACCTTTTGTTTTCTCTTACAGAGGCCTCTCTTTCTTTCTGCCTCCAGGGCAGTGGAAGGAGGGGCTCGATCCCACAGTTACTGATTTTCTTCAGCCTTGGGGTCTCGGCAGGTGCATTCATCCAGGTCACAGTCAGCAGCAAATGGAATGACCTAGGGGAAATCAATGAGAAGTTGAAATAACCCATTTTCTTGCCAAGCTTCATACTTCTCAACCAGCTTCTGCTTTTCTCACTTGGTCCCAGAGGAAGTGTGTTAATACCACAGAGCCGAAACTAACACTCAGTTCTTGCACTTACACATCATGGTAAATCTTCCTTGCTTCACTTACGTGTGTGTGTGTGTGTGTGTGTGTGTGTGTGTGTGTGTGTGTACACAGTGGAAAGACAATAGTAATTCCCCTAGGCGGTGGTAATGTGATTTAAATAAAATGATGGATATAAAACACACATTTCCAGGCATCTGTAATGCTTGTTACTACTACTTCTAATATAATCATTAATGTCAAGAACCACTGCTAATGTTTTCATCGCCATTATCCTCTTCACAAAATCCCTGTAAAGTAGGTAAGATGGATGTTAGCATTTTCTTTTTATCGGGAAGGCCAAGAGAGATTGGATGACTTAACTTAAGGTCATGGCACTACTATCTGGAAAACCAAGGCTCTACAGCCTAACTCTATGGCTCCTACTTCTTGGTGTTCTTAGAGCCATACAATCATCTTTGGCATCTTGTAAGCATGAGGTTTTGCCCACCTTGAACCCAGGATGCACTTGGACTTGGTGAAACAATGCATCTCTGCACCCACTGTTTGTGGCTGGATTGCCTTCCTGCTATATAATTATCCCTACTCTGCGCCGAAAACGATCCTGCAAAAGTTGCTCTCTACCTGTTCTCACTACAGCATCAGCAGACAAAGACACTTTTTAAGTGTCCATAACCAGTGTCAGAGAGAATTGGGCATGTTGGGAGACATGATGTAAAAATTAGAAAGGATTCTACCCTTTGACCATAGACAATCAAGTGAGGTAAAATAGGCATAGCATGTAATAGTTCACAGCACACTGAAAAGATGGGCTTAGTGATTGGGCAAGGGAGTTGGAAAATGGGTGGTATTATTTGGGGAAATTTTCCAGCATATTTTCACAAAGGAGGTAAAATGTGATTTAGGGGGATTAAAGTGCCTTTTCTTTCATTCTTTTTTTTAAAGATTTTATTTATTTGAAGGAGAGAGAGCAAGGGGAAGGGGCAAAGGGGGAGGGAGAGAGAGAATGTCAAGTGGACTCCATGCTGAGCGTGGAGCCAATATAGAGTTTGAACTCTATATAGAGTTTTGAACTGTAGAGTTTGAATCTGAGATCATGATCTGAGCTGAAATCAAGACTTGGATAGTCAACGGACTGAGACACACAAGTGCTCCATGATGTGCCTTTTATTTCTTTTTTCTTTTTTCTTTTTTAAAAATATAATTTAATTTATTTTTTTCAGTGTTCCAAAATGAAGTGCCTTTTCTTTTCTTTTCTTTTTTTTTTTTTTTTTAAAGGAGAGGTCCATTCCAGGACCTGCTCCCTACCTTATCCACTAGGATGAGAAAAAGCATCCTGAAGTGCCTTTTCAATTCTGATTCTAGTATATGCTGGCTACAGGCACTGAAATCCATTGAAGACAAACCCTAGATTTACTGAGTATGAGATGGAGATGAGGCGAGAAATGCTTGTCTTCTTCTGAAGTGGTCATACCTTCCTGGGTAGAGATGGGATCCGTGACCAGTTACGGTCTGTAAGTGAGAACAATAACTAGTTGATACGATTTCTGACCTGTTTCCAAGCTGTTGATCTGTTTCTCTTGGTTTGGGATTTATTATTTTTTTAGAGCAAAAGAGAGACAAATTGAACAGTGATCCGATGAGCCCCTGAGCATTCTGCAATAAATAAGTTAATTCACATAACTGGTGACAACAGTTTCTGGCGTAGAGTGAACAGTCAGTCATATCAGCCATTAGGTGCCAGAGTTTCAGCTCTGTAGAGGTGATCATGTAGGTATGACTTATTGTGAAGACAGGTACAAGGAAAGAAATACTGTCTCTTGCATATTTCTGATTCATCAGATTGGACAGTTAGCATCAAATATCTTTGGAGCACTTGGCTTTTTATCCAAATTATCATAAAATTTCAGCCTATTCGATTTCACAGGTTTAGCTTGAGCATATCTGTCAATTTAATAGAGCCCAGAGAAATAGAGATAAAAGGAATTGAGAAAAAATTACTACTCAGGGTATGGTCTAAGTAGCTTGTGGTGGCCAGTCAACTTAAACTTAAAATATGCTTATAATACACTATATAGGATTATTAATTTAATAATGAGGATTAACAATAACCAAACGTCACTTCATTGGTAATCATGCCTCCCCAGGAGGTAAAGGCCATAATTCCCTGCCAACAGAGGTGTATCCTGGACAACGATAAGCAGATGTGAGTCACTGAGAAGCCAAAGCCATGGCTTTTCCGAAGGAGTTCCAAAACCAACCACTGGAAAACTAGTGTTTTCTAACAACCTTACCTAAAATCACTGCCTTTAATCCTGTCACCATAGAAGCTTAAATGTTTATTCACTATAACTCCCTCTTGACTAGGGAATAAAAATGATACAGAATGAAGGAGAACCAGCCAAACTTATTTCTGGAGTCCCTGCCCTGCCTGTTACCTACAGGTGTGCTCACTTACCTTCTTGGAGGAGAGCGTGGAAGAGCAGCAGTCTCCCCCATCATAGTGGCAGTAGGCCCGGTTGTTGATGGTATCACACCATCCATCTGCTTGGAAAGGCTGGTGAGGACATGAGAGGTCAGTGTCTATGAACAGCTTCACTGGGCTTTGCCCTACTCTCCCACCCATCTCCATCATAACACATGGAACTCAAGAGATATTAGGGGAGAGCACCCGAGAGGCAGGATACCAACTGACCTAACATCCTTAAGAAGTTGAAAAGTCTCAAGACCACTGGACCCAAAGATTTGTCAAAGTTCACCGGCAATACCTGCTTCTGACCAACTCTAGGGTCCAGAATGGTTCATTTAAATTCCTTGGTCAAATTTTTTACCTTCTTGTTAAATAACACGTCTTTATATAAAGTAGGTTACCAAATATTTTCACACATTTTAACTCTGTTGATCATCCGGAAAAGCCTATGGTGCAGGCAAGGTTGGCTTTAATGGAGATGCATAGAAATAACGAAAACTTCCCTGGGTCGCATAGCTAGGGTCAAGCCGACTTTGGAATTAGAAGTCCTAGATCTTGATTTTCTACTTCTTCTCCTGGATTAAGAACTATAATTTCCACCCTTTCTCCTGGTACTTGTATTCAGAGACCCTGGTAGTCCTGGCATGCTATGAAGATTCAAATGATGTTTGTCCAGAATGCAGGGGTCCTAGGGTTTGGGACACCAGTGTTGGAACAGAAATACTCTCAGACATACAGCTACCTAATACACAGCAGCTAGATGCAGGGTGAGAGCAGAGGAAGTGAAGCTGTTTCCCTTCAGTCCTGTTATAGCTACAAGTTAACAGAAACCAAAATGGGAAAGGGGCCCAGGCCAAACCAGAGTTAATGGAGTGTTTCTCCCCAAAAGGGAATGTATGATAAGAACAGCAACAAGCGGTTAAAAAAGCCCAATGTGCTGTTTCCCTAGAACCACTCCTGGAGAAAAACAGTGTCCCACAGTATTCTGGAGGCCATGCCAGCCAGCCCACCTACTCAATCACATTGGCTGCTTCCCCTCCTGAGTGGATGCCTAATTGAGAAGCCTCAGGAAACATTTTGTGGCCAAACTCTTTGGACCACAAGACAGTCAGTAGACTTCTGAGTTCTGAGGTCACCTTCCAGGTTGCATGTTTAAATCACTTTCTCTCCCCCCACCCTCCTTAAATATCAAATAATGGGACTGTTCCCTATTTCACTGTGCTTTGATGAGATAGATAGATAACTAAACTAAAAAAAGGGGGGGCGTTAAATAATTTTCGGCAATTGAATTACATCAGAACGAGCTCATCCAAATTATTACTTCAATGTTTTGATTTATTCTATGGGGTCCTGAGGTCATTTGAACATCATTCCAGATGTATACCAGCATTCCGATCACTGAAAAGTTGCTACTTGTGGGGTGGAACTCAACAGCTGTTCCACAGCTGCATGGCAAAGGCAGTTGAGAGCAGGAAGTAAAAATGAATTCTGTTTTCAACACGGGCCTCACTGGGATAAGAGACAAAGACTGTGAGATGTGCATGTGTCTCTAACACCAGAGCAAGTGACACTGGCTCTGTAGCTCCTGGGATGACTATACAATCAGGACTTGGGGCTACAATTGCAGCCAGATAATCGGAGTCAAAATACGGCTGGCGATATCCTTAACACCCATAAATACTCTTGGGTCCTCCCAGGAGGACCAGATACGTCTCCTGAGATCTCCCACCCCTACCAGAGTTTTCTTTTTCAAGTGTTTGGTGGAGTATATTTTCCTCCTCTAACACTGCATCTGTTACTTTGTCTCCAACCCTGACTGACTCATTGGCAAAACTTAATCTGTTCCTTCTTTATTTTTCATGGTATTGTCTATAAAAATCCAAAAAGCACCCAAAATACTTCTCTTACATGTAAAAGTGTGGTCTTCAGTATGGAGGATTAAAGGGAGAGCTTCCTTTTCATAAGAATAGCTTAAACTTTTGAATGGATTATTCAAGGATCCAAGAGAATCAGTCTTTCCAAAGTCTTCCCCAAGGATGGCTTCTCAGGATCACTAGGGAAGATAGGTTGAAAAGAGCAGAAATGGTCTAGGTGACCATCTCTAGCTCCCAGTGGGTGTCTACTGTTAGAGCCTGAACGTGATTTCTAGAAACTTCTTTCTAGAAGCTTCTTTTCTGCTCTTAAAGGGTCATCTGGGAAGAAAAGGAAATTTATAAAAAGGGGCAGAAAATCAGAGAAAAGGTTGGAAAGACCCAAATATTTAATTTACTATATACCTATTAGAATTAATTGTTCCTCCCCTAACCTGCCAAAAACAGCTACTCCACCCTAAACAAACAGAGTCTCCTATGGCAACATGTGCCTGGGAAGCCTGACAGCTTGAGTCCAAAGTTACAATGGAAAAAATAGAAAGGGAAAAATGACTAATTGATCCAAAGTTTTTAAAGCATCTGAAGACTGAATGTAGATTAGATCAAAATCTCAATAACGGAGAGGTGTCAGACTGAGTACATCACTTCTGCTCCAGGAAACGTCCCCTAACAGAGGGTGCAAGTGTTGGGTTTCTCTGCACAATGTGTCCACAGGTGAATTTTTACTAACCATACATAGACCTCACTTACCCTGTAACATTAGCAAACAAAGTGCTTCACGTAAGTGAATTTTTCAAATACCTATAGCCTATTTCTTTAGGAGACATGTTTTCATTTTCCATCTTAACCATTTTGATGAAAGAAAAAAAAAACCTACAAAATTCCTCTCACTCTGCCTTTTAATAACTAATAGAATAAGAAGTCATCAACATGAACATTTTTCATTTTCATTTTTTTTGTACAGGAAGACTCTGTAGTGGGCTGCTTACCTTTGCATTAAGTGAGTCTCCTCTAAAACACACACACACACACACACACACACACACACACACACACACCCCATAACTTCATGAATCAAGCTTCTTAAATTATACCTGAAGTAAATACCTAGATCTGAGAGAGAGGCTAGTTTTCTCTTCTCATGATGCATGAACTTGAGGATATCTATGGCTGGCTAGCTGTGTTGCAGGCAGATGAGTTAGCTATAGAAATGGTTGTGGGTCAGTGATGAAATCAGAAGGGCTGTCAGCCCATACACCTATATGACTATGGAAACTGGACAACTTTGGAAACTTCTCAAAGTAAAAATAATTCCTTCTTTATGTTATCTATATTCTTTGTGTTATTTTCTGTTTAAGGTTGTTCTGCAAAGCTAGGCATGGGGATGGTGGGCCCTGTCTGTTTTCTATGGATATAGTCATTCATTCAGTCATTCAACATCCTTGATTCCAAACCTCTATGTGCCAGGCATTGTTATGGGGATGCAAAGATAACTAAAACACAGTTTCAGCCCCTGAGAGAATCCACCGTAAACAAGTATAACTTATGACAATTAAGTGCTAGCATAGGGAAGCAGACAGGAGACAAGTCAGATTTTCGCTGGGGAGATTTTTAAGAGCTTTCATGGGCTGGCTTGCTACATCTAGCCTCTAGGAGGAGAGATTAGGGCTAGATGATTCAGAGGGGAAGCCTGAGAAAATGAAAATAGACATCCGGGTGGTCTCAGACTGCCTGTCACAGGGCCCAACCCCAGGAAGAGCTCCATAAACATTGCCTGATTGGCTGATAACGCTTCTCTTACTTCAACTACATTAGGAACATTCTTCTGCTATAGCTTGCAACAGAACTCATGACCACGCTGACGTTTTAGAAAGGTTAGTTTTGTACTTTAGGTGGTCTGCTCTGATGCCCTATAGGTTGGGGTCTCAGCCAAAAGTGACTATCTCCCTATAGGTGAGGCACAGGGCAGAATCCTGATTTTTCATCCTGAGGAGTGTTTCAGACCAGAAGATGCTAATCACATTTGTGTCTAAAGCTTAACACTAGTTTCTTTCCCCCACATCCTTTTCCATCAGAACCCTCTAGTCATGTGAATGACAAATTGGACCCACATCTGTATCTTCTTATTGGGCGGGCTGCACGAGGCCCCAAAGATGTGCCAGGCCAGTGGAGTCCTTGAAGTAAATGGAAACTCTTATAAGTATATATAAGAAGGGGTGCTCGTTTTCTCTTTTTCTCTGGATTTCCAATGAATGCTTCGCTTGATTCTCCAGCCTGATTCTCCTCCACTGAACCCAAAGCTCTATGTACCATGTCCATACTGGCTGGGCTTCACTGCAAGGCTGCTCTTAGAATTTCACAGGCAAAAAACTTACAAGGTCTTTGAGTAATGACCAGAACACGACTTGCTTTTTGTTTTTTGTTTTTTGTTTTTTTAAAGGATCATAGATACATGACATTCTAAGGTTGGATGCATATTCTCAGATCACAATGCTTTGAAACTGGAGCTCAATCACAAGGAAAAGTTCAGAAGGAACTCAAACACCTGGAAGCTAAAGACCACCTTGCTTAAGAAGTGGATGGAGTCTTGAAGACTATTTAGTACCAAACCCCTATTGTACAAATGATGAAATGGAGCCTTAAAAAAAGAGAAATGTCTTATTTGTAAGGCAAGTTGGTGGCCATCCTGGGAATAAGGCAGAGTCTCTGAATTCTTGATCTGATGTTCTTTCTACTATAGCATGCTGCCACTATCTGATGATTTCATTCATCTTTTAATTTATTGGGAATGCAGAGTAATTTAAATTCCTTTGGCACCTCTATAATACAGGTTCAGTTACAGGAGAATTGACAAAAAAGTGAGCCCAACGATCCAACACAAAAGCAAAAAGGGCTGTACGTATGTCAATGCCCCGGAGCCCCAACAACTTCACTTCTGCTTTTTTCAGTTGTAGGACAAAGTTTATCCCGAATAAGCTGCCTGGCACCATCACTCCTTCTGGCCTCGGGGCTTGGTCTTCTCCTATTTCCCTAGAGGCTGATTTCCCCAGGAGGAAGCAGCACTACACTCCCATCCCATCGGCAGATGCCTGCAACCCAGAAACATTTATTTCTGGGTCCCAGAATGCTCAAGCCAGATTATTTCTCTGCTCTCTGCCGTCATCTGACGGAAAGAGGAAATGGAGCTGTTCCCCTCCTCCAGTGTTCACCCCTTGG